CAGTCAACACACACACACACACACACATCATCCCCCAGGCTCTGAGCAAGACTGATGCCTGCAGCAGAGAAATGGGGCAGTCAAAACACACAAACACACACACACACACACACACACACCCCTCTGGCATTTCCAGGCCCAGACTCTGAGCAAGTAGGATAAACTGAAGACTATCATTTCAAATACCTATTCCCTGCATAACATCAAGCACACAGTAGGTGATTGATATCTGTTGAAAGACAATCTATCTGAGCATAAGAGGCTGAGAACACTAGGTTCTGTTGTTTCTTTTCCCCCCAAAGCACCTCTGGATGTAACTCTATCGCATTTAAAGACCAGTCAGTCCCTCGTTCTACTCAGGTTACTGAAGCTTTCTCAATTGGCCCTACTCTGGTCTCCAAGAGATGCACGTCACCATAGGAGCCCAGCCAGAGAGAGAGGTGAGTTGCCAGGGAGGACAGGTCACTGGGGACTGCAGGACTCAGAGCGGTGAATGGTCCCCGGAGTAAAGATGTTTTCCTCCTGGCTCCGTACCAAAAGTGAGTGCCAGTCTATGGCCGGGAAAGTTCTGCAGCAGCTCCCGGATCAGCCCCCAGCCCCCGGGAGGGGCCGCCTTCCAGTCTGGGGAGGGCGAAGTTCAAGAGGGCAGCTGGGTCTGACAAGACGCAGTGTGTGGGATGCCAGGGCAGACATACCAGTGCCAGGATGCTGTCGGCATGCTTCTCCAGGGCCCGGGGCTGATAGTAGGAATCCTGCCAAGACAGATGGGCTGGTGAAGGACCCTAGCCATTGGCATGCCCTCCCTTGCCGACGTCCAGAGGTGTGTCCTCTGACTCTGGCCTCCCAAGCTCTCGGAAGGCCCTTCTCCCCACCCCCCACCAGAGCCTGATGTGCACCCCAGACCAGAAGAGCAAGCACCAGGCGCTGGACTGGGAAGCAAAAGCGAAAACTGCCCAGTGCCCAGTGTGACTTTTGCTCCTCCTTCACAAGCCCGTTGGTCAGCGGGGAGAAGGGCTAATGCTGAGCAGAAACACCCTGTGGGCAAGGTTCAGCTCCAGCGCAGGTTGCCTCAGGGAGAGACACGGGCAATGGGTCACCTGTGGCAGTTTGTAAGGGGCAGTGGACAGAATCGGAGGCCACCGATTTTTTTAAAAAAGGACCATTTTAAGGAGCGTGACCTACTAGCCTCCCGACCCCCTTCCAGCTTTCCTGATTGTCCGGACTGGGGGTGTCCAGATGAGGCTGGTAGAGGGGGGGCAGCTACATGACATGTTGATGTCATTTTGAAATCCAAGGCCAGTGTTGAGGGGAAGATACACGGAGCGGAGCCCAGAGCGGCCATGGGAAGAAGAAATTGGGGCTTTTTACAGAAAAATCCGCCAGCTCCCCAATCCGAGCAGGGTCTCTGCTAGGGTTTAAGAGTCCATGGGGACCGGCCCGGACGACAGACAGGGTGGGGGGCTGCAGAGGACCCAGAACACGCGGTGCTAGTCGGAATGCGAAAGCGGGGCGCAAACAGCGGTAAAGAAAGGAGCCCCCCCAGCCCGTAACGGCGACTTGAACCCACGAAGCGCAAAGAGCTCAGACTTCGACGGCAAGGGGCTTGACAAGCAGGCTCCCCCTGTTTCCTGGAATGGGTCTTTCCGGGGAGCAAAGGCCGCAAGGAGGTTTGGGAAATACCAAGTTTTCCACGGGGGGGGGGGCGCGGGATTTGCCTCACCCAAGAGCTGGCAGAAGGGGTGGCGCCGGACGCCGGCGTCTCCGGGACGCCGGGCGGGGTCCGCTCGGACTCCCGTTCTCGGTAGATCTTGTAGAGCCGGGGGCCGAGGACGCAGCTCAGCAGCTTCGCCATGGCCCCGGCGCGGGCCGCGGCTCCCTCGGCGGCAGGGCCCCGGCCGACCCCGCCCTCCCGGCCGCGGGGCCGTGCG